TTTGGAAGTTCAGTTAACTCTAGAAATGTGTTTTGGAGTTTGTACGTGCTTTGTCTCTAGGGGCTACCGTATATATTTATGTATAAACATATATAAATAAAACCACTTTTTTTTACATTAGTAATTCCTTTTGTGCATAATTTTATATTGTTGTTAATAATAAATTAATCCAAGCAACAAAACAACCTGAAGAGCCGGTTGGGAACCGAAAGAGCCGGCTCTTTTTAGTGAGCCTAGCCGAAAGAGCCGGTTCTCCAAAAAGAGCCGGAAATCCCATCACTATTGTGAGTGTAGATGAGGGTGGGAGTAGATCAGCTGGTAAATGGACACCTTTGGTTTCACCAAAGCTACAGTGTCACTGCAGTCATGGTGCTAAACCGTGTGTCGACATGTGTCTGCCCTCACTTAAACAAGAACCCAACATACTTAAACTCCTCCACTTTGTCCCTGTTCTGGAGTACGGCCTCCACCCTTTTCCTGTTGAGGACCATGACCTCAAAACTGAGGCATTCTCTTTTCTGCCACTTCACGCTCGGCAGTGAACCATCAGGATAGCTCAATGAGGCTAAAATAACCACATCAACACAAAAAGCAGAGCGGTGAACCCGAGGCCACAGAGTAGATGTGTACCCGCACCGTCATACATCCTTCAGAGGACGAGGAGTTGATCCAAAGAGCTGTTTAGAACTTCAGACAGGCACTTAGTGAAGGAACCTGACTCAGTCATGTAGACGCCCCAACTCCCAGTAAACATCTGCATCATCATCATTTATTTTTTTCTACAGTTTGATCCTAATTTTAGTTTAAGAGGACACTAATCCATGAGTAATATTATAGGATGCCTTATTAAATCATGGGGATCCCTCCGGACAAGATGATTTTTTTTCTTTAAATGTAGCTCAGGTGGTGCTAATGGAGGTTGCCGAGGTTTGAATCCCTTCACTTACTGTTGAAACTTACCGGAGACATTGGCTCACCGACCCACACACCTACAGACAGACAGACAGACAGACAGAGGGGTGTTAGGCAAGACCAGCAGCTGTAATATCAACACTACTGCAGAAGTACTGCTGCAGCTGTGAGGCTGCTGTACGCCAGACTGCACACTGTAGTATCACCTGACAGCTGGTCCTCAGGTGAGTGTAGTTCTGGTTCCAGCAGGTTCAGGTAGTAGTAGTGCTGCCTGGTCATTCGGTCGAATACATGGAACTGACTGAGAGCCAGCTGAGCCTAAACACAACCACATGTTACATAACAATGTCTGTGAACGAATCACAGCTCTGTGTTGTTTTTATGTGGGACGTTATACCACTGGGCTCATCCGGCCAATCAGAGCTGTTATACAGAACTGTCCATCAGAGTCCTTCAGCCCCGCCTCCGCCCCGAGCTCCAACAGCACACGAGCTGCATCACTACGCTCTGAAGACACAAAGAGATGATTACAATCAGACAGTGGGAAGAAAAAACTTCCTCTTGACAGGAAGACACCTCTGGCAGAACCAGGCTCAGGAAGGGGCGGGGCCATCTGGAGGTTAGCAGAGGAAGACGCAACAAAGAAGTGCTGTGGAAGAGAGCCAGGGGTTAAAAATAACGAATAATCAAATGCAACGAAGTAAATACTGACTGAAGAAGAAACACCCAGTGCATCATGGGAATCCCCGGCAGCCTACATCTATTGCAGCATAACTAAGGGAGGACTCAGGGTCACCTGGTCCAGCCCTAACTATATGCTTTAGCAAAAAAGAAAGTTTGAAGCCTAATCTTGAAAGTAGAGATAGTGTCTGTCTCTGAAATATCTTATTATGGAAAAGTTAGACATATTTTCCTAGCATGTGCTTAATTTTGCTTGGTAAGAATATGGTTTCTTTTTAGACAAAAAATACGAAAAAATGTTCAGAAACAAAGTTTTTTTTTTACTTTCTTGAAAATCGATTTTTGCAGTGCAGTTTTTTCTTGTACAGACTTTTAAAAACATGGACAGGAAAATGGTCCAGTAGCTAGCACCACTCCCTCCATCAAGAAGGTTCTGAGTTCAACTCCAGCATCTGCCTTGTGCCTCCCCCTCTGGGTTCTCTCCCACAGTCCAAAGACTGAAGTTAATTATTCCAAATCGTCCACAGGCAAGGCTGTTAGCCCTGTGACAGACTGGTGACCAGAAAATCCCTCCTCTCAAAGTGAAAAAGAAACAACACTGAAAGCATTACTGACGGGTTTGTTTTCAGCTGATCTGACTTCAAACATACTTCATTTCTCACTCGTCTACATAATTTATTTCAAGACATCTTATCAAGTGTAATTATCTTATTTCACTTAATATAGTCAGGATCTTCTTAAAGTCAATTATTATTTTTCCTTATTTCTAAACAGGCAATTTTTGCAGTGTGTGTCAGTGGTACCTGCGTTAGCGGCGAGCTGCAGTGGCGTCCTGCGTTTGTAGTCGGTGCAGCCGATGGAGGCTCCGGCCTGCAGCAGAAGCCTGATCGAACCGACGGCATCATTCTTCGCAGCGTAGTGAAGCGGGGTCTGCTTGTCCAGAAAGGTGCGAGCCTCCGGATCAGCTGATCATAACACACATGCAGTCACGTGACTCTATCACATGGCTTCCCATCACACACTGTTCATGCTTTAGTGTCCACAGACCTTTTCGGTCCAGCAGGAACTGCACCATGTCCTGATAGTCCAGCGCCGAGGCCACATGCAGCGCAGTGACTCCAAACTGATCCGGCCGCAGGAGGTCTGAGCCCCGGTCTAGGAAGAACCGCATCACATCCACGCTCCACGCTCTGGAGATCTGAACACACACGTACCTGCATTAGTTCTCTGCTGACACACACCTGTAGCACACAGACACAGCACAAGCTCTCAGTGACCGTCCTGCAGGTGTGTGAACAAACGGCTAACAGGGCAGAAGTGACTTCCCGTGTGACCTCGTGCAGGACGGTCTGTCCATATCTGTCTAAGGCGTTCGGATCAGCTCCGTCTGAGAGCGCCCGGTCCAGAAGCTGAAGGTCCACCTGAACAAACACACAAACATGAACACAAACAGAGGAAACAAAAGTGGTTTGATTTTATACGGACACTTGTCACTGATTGTTACCTGGTCAGTGTCCTGGTTGGTTGCAGCCAGATGTCTGAAGTGATCGAGCAGTTTTTTGTTGAGTTGTTGGTTTTTGTTGATGTTGTCTATTTGGTCCCTCTGCTCTTTGTCATCTTCATCATCCTCAGCTAGACCACAGTATTTGACCTCCACCTGAAATCCTGAAAAAGAAGCTTTGATGAAGACCAAACTCAGACTTGTTGCAACGACTAAGCTCAGCTGGACTTACGTTTCACCAAAGCTACAGTGTCACTGCAGTCATG